TGTATTGTTTTAATAGTTTGTGACCTTTTTGTATTCTTCATCGTTTGCCTCAATGTCAATGGTATTGTTTTTCTGTTCTTGATTTTAAAGAAAGAGAGAGAGAGAGGTGGGTTATGTTCAGGAAAGACAAGGGCTTGAAAGATCTCTATCTTCCCAAACCCTCATGCCTCCTCATTTCAGAAATCGTATGGGATCGATGTAAAAACGCAATTTATAAGTAATTTATTAATATTTTTCAAACTACTCAAGAGATGGCCAATCATCATCTTTGTTTGTTGATTCTTGAACTGTGTTGGTGCTTCCTTCTTGGCCACATCTGAGTTATCTGGATTACATGCCCAAGAGATGATGCAGAGAGAGACAAAGAGTTGTTGGTGCCTTCAAGTCATATTAGTTACTTTCAGTTCTGTAAGAATGAAAACCTTTTCGGCCAACAAGATAACTTATTAAGCAAGACAATCGACTATCTTTATCCATGAATATTCTCTGCTTCTGCAGGCAAATCAAACAGAAGCTATGGTGTTGAAGCACTAGAGCTTGTATAAGGGATATTAGCTACGATTGTAAGACCAAGCACATACAAGTATTTAAGTTTATCTTGTAAAGTTACATCAGAGATTACAAATACAGAAGCAAACTCTCTTATATGCTCCCAATGAATCTGACACAAGAACAGAAGAAATGTTAGAATTTACAAAAGCCATCGGTATATCTATAAAACCAAAAAAAAAAAAAAAGCTGACACAAGCCACACAACTTAAGAAGAACTCCTTCCATGGTGCATAATCAATATTGAGGTGTGTAAGAGTAACTAGATTGGTTTTGGTTTTGTCTTAAATTCATGTGTCCTTGCCTTCCTTCTCTTGAGTATTGATCCCACATCATCTGCTCTTCCATCAACATCCTCTGTTTCTTCTCCATATCATTCATCTGCACATACGGTGGCGGCGCAACCTCCAAGGAAGCTGCAAATGGATCCATCCCTACAGTACCACCACTGCTGTTTCCATTAGCCGTTACTGGTGCTGGAAGTGCCAGCATCGTTGCTATAAATTGATACAAAATCCATGTCAAAAATTAATTATAATGCAAACAAAGACCATATCAAAGTCATATGTTTCTTTTAAAAAACCTGCTGGTCTTCCTGCAGAACCAAATGCCATACTGCTTGCACTTCCGCTAGCTCCATAAGCCGTGGAGGTTTGTACAGCAGCATTCACAGTACCATGCTGATACATTCCGTTGAGAAGCAACATATCAAAGCCTCCTCCGAGTTCAGTCTTCTGTCCTGATAATTTTGTAGCTGTTTGCACCAAAGCTGTCTCCCAATCTGCTCCATCATCATCATTAAACGCTTCCCATCCAGGACCGGTTCCTGAACCAGAACCACTCGCGTAAGGGCCATCAAATAAAGCCAATGCTAAACTATCTCCAGCCTCTGCAGCTTGAACGCTGTTTATATCCACAAGATCCAGCAAATCACCAACTTCTTCTTGCTTCTTCTCTATTATCACTTCTTCCTTTGCTTCTTCTTCAAGTTTTTCGTCTTCCTCTTCTTTTGGTAGAGGTGCGGGTAAGGCCTTGATTGCATTCATATCTTCTTGCTCCTCGTTTACTTCCTCTGCTCTAGCTTCATCATCCTCTTCAACAGATTGTGATGTCTTGGTCTGGTCTAAAGAAGATTTGTCTTTTATAAACTCATCCATGAGATCAAGCTTCTTCTGTGTGATCTTCTCTATCTCTGGATACTCTGAAGACCTAGCGATCCCCATGTTCTTACACCAAGAATAGAATTGATCCAGCTCTTCAAACTGTTTTGAGACACGACAGAAAATGTCATAGACCTTGATCGAATCAGGTATGTCTAACTCCATGAACCGTTCGATTAAAATCCCCATTATCTCCGTTACATCGTAATATATCTGAAAACTCTCCTTCACTATTGGATACAAAGCCACAATCACAACTCTGTTATTCCTCGCGCTACCTATTAAAAACACGATAACTTGTCATCCAAGAAACGAATCAGAGAGTGAGGAAACATGTGGATATGGTTACCTGTTGGACGGCAAGCCAAGAAACGGTCGAGAAGTTGCTGCAAATGTTGTATTCTTGTGAAAATCTGCTCTGTTTTCATCTCAGCGATAGGTTGTGACCTAACCACTATAGCCGTGGAGAGATCAGCCTCAGGGTTGTCTTTCTTGTTTTCCACGTTATCTCCACCTCCAATGCAGTAAACTCCACGTTTCCCGTGCCTCATTTGCATCCTAAAATCAAGCCTCTCGTCGAGGTACAACGCGTAGGTCCTCACAAAAGCAGAGTAATCCCATGAATTTGACCTAGAAACATCTCTAAAGTCAGACATGTTGAGAAGTCTCGTCCCACGGCGAGTAGCGAAGAAGATCTCTTGCTCATAAGCCTTGTCTCCTTCTCCTAAGAGACGTTGGATCAAGATCAAGGTTTTGAGAGCGACGGTCCAGCATTTGGTTTTGTTGAGGCGTCTTGAGAGCGTGTTGACGCATGCGTTGATGTAGTTGCGTGAGTAAGAAGTTAGGCTAAGAATCTCTCTGATGTATTTCTCTTCCGCTGGATACTCTTCGTGACGAGTCGCTTTGACGATGGCTACGTCAAGCTCTGATAAAGAAGAGCTTCGACCGTTGACTTTGGCTAGACCAACGCTGGTTTGGTCCTTCACGGCTCCTATGGCTCGTTTAAGTTTACTCGAACCCATTTATTATAATGTATGTAAGAAAAATTATTAGAAAACGAAAGATTGAAGAGAGAAAAGGAAAGAAACGAGAAGGTTTTTTTTTTTTTTGTGTGTGTGTTTTGTCTCCTCGTCGTCTCCTTTCTTCTCCTCTGATTCTTTTTTTTTTTAAGTTTTTTGTTTGTTTGTTGTCTTTCTGCTGTATTGTGTTTGTTTAGTCAAATGTAGTTTCTTTGGTGATCGTTGATATTCACCATGCAAGCCGCCGAGGTTGTAGGAGATTTTGGGAGGTGAAAGATAATGCCACGTGGCGTTTTTACTGATAAAACTGAAATTTGGTTTGTATATCCCCTATATATTAATTGAGAAACATTTGAAAAGATGTAACCTCAAGTTTGTATTAATTAAAAAGTAACCTTGCTTAGTTGTCAATCAATTAGCATATCAATTAAACTGACGTGGCGGCTTTAGGTTCAATTGAAATTTGCTAGGGAAAAATAATTAGAGACGCATATAACGCATGTAACATAGTTTATATAT